AAAGAAATAAATTCAATCTGTATGTGGATGTGTGTAAATATTCAAATGTAATCCCTTTTGTAATCTTTAACATTTTCATAAGTAACTGTAATTTAATTACACGTTTTTTCTTAGTAACCGTAACGGATTAGTTACATTTATTTTGTAATTAAATTACGTAACGCCGTTACATGTAACTAGTTACTCCCCAACACTGCACAACACAAGATATTATTAAGATTATCATGCCAGAGGGAGCGCGTGATCTCACGCAGCAGATCATCACTGATATTTCAGTTAGGCCTACATATGTTCGCTAGCGTGCTAGCAGCTCCCAGCGCTTCTCTTTCTCCTCAAGGTGCGTTTCTATGGCGGCAATCCTATGCCATTAATAACCGAGCGCACCACTGATGCTGGCGCGCGCGGTAAATCACTTCCGCGAGAGGAAAACAGATAGGAAACGGGAGCCCGCGAGCTCATTTCAAACCCTCGCGCGCGCGGGACATGTCCTCTGCGCGCAATACAAGCCCTCGCGCGCGCATGATCATTCCCCAATGGGAAGCCAAACAACCCAAATGTGGGACGAAACAGCGCGGTATTAATACTAGCCTGCCTCCGGCTGGAGAGAGTAGCCTATGGGAAGCCAAACAACTCAAATGTGGGACGAAACGGCGCGGTATTCAAGTGTTCGCGCCGCGCTGACCTGTCATAGGCGCGGCTCAATGGACCGAGCGGCGCGACCGACTCGACAGCGTCGACAGCGCGTGTTTACTAGCGCCACCGACCTCACAGCGCGGCGCGAACATTACTCTTCTTCTTCTTCTTCTTCTTCTTCTTCATGTTTTAAGGCGGGTGGCATCCAACGTTTAGGTGCATTACCGCCACCTACTATACGAACATTACTCTCCGCAGAAGTTCGTGTTTTTTTCCTGCACATAACATAATGAAGATCAGTATTAAGTTATTACATTTCTTTTGCTTACCTTTCTACTACATGTAAACAGTTGTACTTTGAAAAACTGCAAGTATAAAATATATAAGACTTTAATAAATGTACAATACCATAGTCCTCTTGAGGAGCACACCCAGCTTCTAGTATATATATATTTTTTATTTTGTACTTAGTTATTATTGTTGTTGTCGTCAAGTTCTACATTCAGCACAATATTGCCCATTTTAAATTTGAACTATTATTAAATAGCCTAGTATATATATATGGGATTTTTGTTGTCTCTAGTAAAGGGAACATTGTTATTTAACTTTAACATTGCAATTTTATATAATGGATACGGTTTGTAAGGCTTTTCTCTACACTCCAAATTAAATAAATAAATAAATTTTAATTAA